CCTGTGAATTTCAAGACTGTCCAAAGTTACAAAGGGTTTGTTTCTCATTTTTCTTAGCAAATTCTCCAGTAGCCTTTCCTGCTGTTCTATTTAGAGTCAGATCCTGCTGACTCTAAATTACTGTGGGTATGATAAGACCAACAGGCCACCTTGGGCACCAGCCTATCGCTTTCTACCTTTTGCTATGAATAAAATCCTTGGCTGTGGCTAGGTTACCACGGTGATGTGTAAGGCCTTCTGGAGGTGTAGGGATAGCTGGGGTTGGAGGCATGATGAATAAGGGAAACAGTTAAGTTATAGAGTATTCGGTCCACTGAGGATAAATCCCTTCCCCTTCTCTGATGCATCTGAGCTGATGCAACCTCATCACAATCTGCAAACTGGAAGGTCTGCTCTAGGCATGGAGCCATCTTGGGGTTCAGGTTGATTGCTCTTGTAGAAAAATCAGCACGTGGCTGTAACAGAAACCACGATAACCTCAATGAGTATGAGCCCATGCTTTAGAGTTCATGCTCTAAATGCTGTTATTTGCCCTGTTCATGAGCCCATGATAAATCATCTAGCAGCCACAGGAAGGGCAACCCAGCATACCGTGCTATCAGACCTTCTTCCATTATGGGGGGACCTTTTGGCTAGCAGTCACGAGATACATAAATATTTTCAGGTTTGGGACACAGAGGTCCATTCATAGCCCTCCAAATCTTTTTGAGCACAATTTTCAAATCCTATTTCTTCTGTTTCTTCTAACATTTTGACCACATCATAAGCACGGCCTAAAAACGCGCGTAGATTCTGCCCCTTGGCGATCTGTTTTACCAGGCAAGGTGGACACTATGATGCACTCTTTGAATTCCACTGCCCGGGAAGGACTCTTCCTCTTTACTGTCCTTTGGAGCCTCCCCCTAGAGAGGCTGTGACTGACACAATCTACCCGGAGCTGGTGCAAGCAAAGTGCAGGGCCCTCTATCCACAAACCAGGCATGAATGTTTTCATCCCCAGCCAGATAATCACAGCAAACTTCCTGCGAGAAGGTCCAGGGCACGGTTGGAGGACGGCAGGCTGTTGGGATTAGGCATGGCGTAGGCATGGACACCCTGCCGTGGTGGCTTCAGAGCCTGTGTGGGCCAGCTCCCCCGCACAGCACACCACTTCCCCTTCGTGATGCAGGGCGACCGGTCTCCCTACTTGTGGCAAAGTAGGTCAGGTGGCAGTCAGTTCGTAGTAAACAACTTGAGTGTCATGGTAATCCGGTGTCCCATAGTCACACTCTTAGTGTCCCCTGGCGTCCAGTACCAACCCAAGTATTCTTTGCAGCCGAAGGGGGCATGGCCTTTCCTCGCCCTCCTAGGGGCTGCTGCCATGGTCCTGTCAAGGCTTGAGCAGGCTCCACACAGTGTCCTGATGCGCTCTGGGCACTTCCGGCAGCTTTCCACTCTATGGGCCCTACAGGCTTAGTGACACAGCCACTAGACGTACACCCCTGCTTGCCTTCAGAATCCTCTTTCTCTAGACCCCAAAAGTGGAAACCTTAGGGCCACCCAGTGTACAGGTAGAGCAGAGCACACCAGTGTGGTGTTTACTGCTCCATTATCCAAAGACCCTTGATATTTATTCCTTTATTGGTGGGACAAAGTGTGCTCTGCCCCTGACAGCTGAAAGCAAACTGCTCAATGAGGTGGCGTCCTGTACCAAGAGGGGGGAAAATATGTTTTCCTGACCTGGTTTTGTAGCTAGTTTTACAGGAACACGCCGCGCCCATTCTTTGATCGTCTATGGCTGCTCTCTTGCCACAGCTGCAGAGTTGAGGGGTTGCGACAGAGACCATTTGGCTTGAAAATCTAAACTATTTATTATTTGGGCCTTTAAGAAAAAGGTTGCTGGCCCTTGCTCTAGATTAGTGTCAATGCAAAATACCACAACTGCAATGGCTTGCCTCAGCAAGGGAACCAAACTCAGAAGAGCACACACAACTGAAGTCCCCATCCCATCCAGCTGTGACATGCCACAGCGTTCCAAGGCCAGTCAATTTCTCTCTCTCCTCTTCCTCTCTCCTTCTCTTCCTCCTTCCTTCCTTCCTTCCTTTCTTCTTCTTCTTCCTTCCTTCCTCCTTCTTTCTTTCTTCTTTTCTTCTTTCTTTTTTCTTCTTCTCTTCTTTCTTCTTCTTTTTCTTTCTTTCTCTTTCTTTCTCTCTCTCTTTTTTCTCCCTTCCCCTCCCCTTCCCTTCCCTTTCTTGCCAAACTGGAGAATTAAAAGGAGGAATGACAGGAATCGGCGTATCTGTGTCTCCCTTATCCGTGAGGAGACGCTCATCTCTGCCGTTTTCTCACAGGATGGGGCACCATTTTTCACTTTCCACTGTGGAAGGGCAGGAGGCCTTTGGTGGCTTCCACTGGGCCTTCCGCTCACAGTCATTCTCCGAAAGCCAGTGGCGAGTCCTGCCCTTTGCTGAGTACGCCCATTCCAACACCCTACTTGGGGACTGGTGAGACACTCCCAGGGCCGTTCCAGGGCCCAGGCAGTTTACAACAATACAAAGTCACATCAAAACTCCGTCCTCTGGCTCCCACGAGCACCCACTCTGAGGCTGACCTCAGTGGTTTCCTGGGGCTTTTAGAATTACTGTAATTTATTTTTTTTTCTTTTATATTTCAGCAAATTATGGGGGTACAAATGTTAAGGTTATGTATATTGCCCTTGCCCCCCTCCTCCCTCGAGTCAGAGCTTCAAGTGTGACCATCCCTCAGATGGTGTGCATGGCACTCATTATGTATGTCTATACCCATCCCCCCTCTCACCCTCCCGACACCCGATAAATGTTATTCCTGTATGTCCACTTAGGTGTTGATCGGTTAATACCAATTTGCTGGTGAGTACATGTGGTGCTTGTTTTTCGATTCTTGGGATACTTCACTTAGTAGAATGGGTTCCAGCTCTATCCAGGAAAATACCAGAGGTGCTATATCACCATATTTAAAACTGGCATCCATTGATACCCAAAGACTGTGGAGGTTTCTTTTTCCCAGTGCACATTATTCGGGAAAAATCAGCTGCAGGTGCATTTGAGAGAAGCGAGGGTAAAGGTTCTCAAGTGTGGCCGTATCACAGAGCTCCTCTGAGGAGTGTGGTTTCCTTATCATCCAGGGGCCCTGGTTTTATGAAATGACTCAGTTCCGAGAATTTGGAGAGAGGCCACATTCTTTCAATGCAACTTAAGACAGATCTGTTTTTTTTTTTTTTTTGCCAGACCTGACATTTTCTTGATTTAATTATTGGGATCCCCGGGATGAATAAACATAGTCAGGGGTGTCAGTCCACTCCCTGAGCCCTATCACCACCCTTTCTCTGTTGGCTTTTATCATGGCCACACCTATGTTGTTTCTCCAAGTTAAAAAGTCCACACTTAACAACTCCCTGGCCCACTGAGGTCAAGGTCCACGTTTCCATTGCAGCTCCTTCCTCTATTGTTCCAGATGACCTTCCCTCTCCAAGCTTGACTTCATGACACGAGGAAGAGTGTAACAGGGAGACTGGCCAGAACACACATGCAAGAGGTAAAATGACATCCCTGTCTTCTTCTCGGGTATTATTAAGGGATCCTCGCCTGTCACACTCACCTAGCACAGACCAACATTTGGTCTGGGTTTGCATTAGCCCAATCAGAAACTCTTAGAATCTCAGCCATCGAGTGCAATATATTTTATGAGTGCCCTTGTCCATAAATTCAGCCCAATCCAAATTTCTATTCTGCCACTTTTATTAAGCACTCTTAAAATCCAAACTGAGAATTTTGATAATGTACATTGACCAATTTCTATAATTCTTTATGGAGTTTTCTCCCCTACTCTGATTCTGCACTTTATCCTCTGGGCTGTGATGAATTCAAATCCTGTTTATCAGGCGAGCGACAATGAAGAACGGGACATGCGGTGAACGGTTAATGCTCTCGTCGTGCTAAGGGACAGTGGCTTCCTTAGGGAAGGCACAGGTGACAGTGAGACAGAGGGCAGTGGGGGACCAGGGTTCCCCAGGTCCTCCCAGATATCCCCATTCCCACGGATCTTCAGTCTGTCTCATCAATACTTTAATATTCATACAAACTATTCCGTAAATTTGTGAATTCAACTCCTATTATAATTAAGAAACCTGCTGGTTTGTGCTCTGAATTCATTTCCAGTAGTCGGGAAGCTTTACATAATAAGAGATTTTTTTTTTTTTAACATGGCCACAGAAAGGCTCTAAGTTTCACTCTAACTTGAAGACGAAAGTTTCAATATTTGAAAGGTCTTGTTTTAAGTCACTCAGTGACTTCAGAAGCAGCCATCCTATCCTCTGGTTCTGGACTTCTTCATCCTCTTTAGATTGGTGGAGGCAGCATCCTCCTTCTGCCCCCAGCCCTGGCTGCCCCTGTCCTCAGTGGGCACACGGTCTGAGGTGATAACGGGAGGAGCTGTGTTACCGCTCTGTCACATGGCTGCCATTTTCCCCTCCTACAGTTGGGAAGGGAGTCTTACTTCCTGCTAACGCAAATGCTCGTCACCCCCTTGGAAGTTTGATGTATGCAATCCTCTCTCTAGAACTCACTTCTGTATCAGTTAATCTTCTTGACTTATAAACAACCCCAACTTCAACCAAGAATGACTGTATACTGTTTAGGCCACAGACATAGGCTCAATCCTTTCCACCTACGTCTGTGTGTCTTCATTTGAGTTTTCAAATTCCAGCTGGCCCAGCTTAGATCAGGCTGGGATCAATCACCCCAGGACAGGGGTCCTCAAACTACGGCCCACGGGCCACCTGCGGCCCGCCGTGGACATGTATCTGGCCTGCCGGGTGTTTTTGCTGCAGCTGCCTGTCCTACTTAGCCCCTGACTCATCCCGGGCCCACAGTGTGCATGTGTGGAATGTGAGCCGCACTCTCCAATGGCCCTCCAACGGTCTGAGGGACAGTGACCTGGCCCCCTGTTTAAAAAGTTTGAGGACCCCTGCCCCAAGACCTAAGTCAAAAGACCCGGGAGACGCCTGGTGATGGCCACTGCAGGAATCATCATGAGCCGGGCAGACTCCCCAGTTTGTGTCTATTAGCAGTGTCACTGCCCGTCGCTGACAGGGTAAGTTCAAACTCTTGGCATGTAAGGTTTTTAATGCAGGCATCAAAGTGCCTTTGCCTCCAGACATCTCTCCCCCAACCTGCCCAATTTCTCTGTTCCTGCGCGCTCTCTGTCCATCCCCAATCTGCCTTTGCTTAACCCCTCCCAGGCGCTCCTGAGAGGTGCAGCTTCCAGTCCCTAAGACCCAGCCTAGCCTCTCCTCCACGAACGCTCACTTGACACTGACCATATACGTGTATTTTGTGAGCAATCGCTTTCCCTGTGCTATATGTTGTCTCCTTGAGTCACTCAGAGTCCCGGCAGGAAACAGCTGACACTCAGATTGGGCCATTTGAGGAGAGTACAGTGAAACCCATGTATGAAGGAGGCAGCAGGGTGAAGGGAGAGCAGAGGTGAGTAACAGCAGGGATTTGTCGCCAGTCCAGGGTCTCATGAGGAGGGGGTGGGAGAAACTGCGTGCTCAGCAGACGCGGCCAGCTGGGGGTTGACACATGCACAGCATCCTGATGGGACAACGCGGGATGGGGACAATGTCTGCCTCTCCATCCATTCTCATGTATTCGGGGTCAGAGGAGCGGCTGTTCTGATTGTCGGATGTCAGGGTGTGGGGGGGCCGCATTTACTAGGCTGGGCCTCCGTGTGTTAAGGTCCCACGCACGCACAGGTGAGTCTAGTCCATTCCTGGCTCCCCCCTCACCCCAAGCAGCAGTAGGTTGAATCAGGGTGTGTCTCACAGGGGCGGGTCACACTTTCTTGCCCTTTTTTTTTTTGGTTGTTATTGTTCTCTTCTATTCATACCTGTAGCATGCCCATTGCTTTGGGTTTGGGCGTGGCCCTTCAGAATAACATTTGAATTTGGGTTTATGGGAAGGTAGTAGAAGAGGTAGGCCTTGAACTCTAACCAGTTTTACCAAAGCCCCTCATCAGGGCAAACTAGGAGCTCGCCCAGATAATAAAGTAGACCGTGTTTTCTGTATTCTGTTGCTCCCTCCTGTGGTCGTGCCTTGCTCACACAATTCCTGGGGATACGAGTGGCATCCCCTGAGTGTTGCAGCACAGTTGGACAAGATCAGATGTAGGCATTCCTGAGTTTCTTGCTGGGATACCCGGAAACCTCACCTCCTGCCTAGCACACAGGCACACCTTTGCCGACTGAGGGGCTCCGTGTGCAGGGCTGGCTGCGGCCGTGGCGCTGGCCAGCGCCCCCTGGCGTTCATGTTCCCCACTGCAAGGGTAATGGAAACAGGTGCTGGCAAGGGGAGGACACCATCTGAAGGCTGGGGCAGATTCGGCAGGGATCTTGAACTGAGCCAGGGACAGTCTTGTCCTATCTGAAAATCTACAAAAGGCAGCTCTTCCGGTGGGCACTGGGCTGTGGCCAGTGGACGAGCTCTTGCTTAGCCAGGAAAGGCGAACCTGGAAATAGGCAAACTCTAGGTATATAGGATTTGAAAGGTGTTATTAGTTATTTCTACATTCCAGCCCATACCTACATCCACATCCATGTCTATCTATCTATCTTTGTGTGTATCTTTAATATCACAGCTTTTTTCTTTCTCGTGTTTCTCAGCCAGGAGCTGGGTCTCTAACATCCATTTAAGTCCTACAATTCAGTCCTGTAAATTCATGTGAGCTCTACGTAGACTTCAGACAGCTGAAATTTGGGGGCTTTGATTAAACCAACAGAACTCATGGGGTGTAAACTTGATTTTTGTGCCCCACTACCCCTTTACATTGAATCAGAGGCTGAAGTTCTATCCCTGAATGAAAACTCAGGCAGTCCCATGGCTTTTGTCATCATGCCCAGGTATGTAAAAATGTCTCATGATCATTTGAGGTCACAAAAGGACAGAGTTTCAACTCAGAAATTAAAGAGTTGATTTCCCTATGATAACCAAAACTCAATTTTATTAGACATATCAACCTTCCCTGCTTGCCCCCAAGCTGGCTGAGGAATGGCTACTTGCTGGAGACAGGAGCCTGGGCAGGATTCTGCCTCTCTCTCTGCCTGCCTGGTGTTTCTACTCCTTCCCCAGCTTGCCCAGCAGGCATTCTAACCCTCCCGCTGGGTGGGGCTGGGCAGGGAGGGGAGGTTGGGGTTAGGGACCTTGTTTGACTGGGCCTGCCATAAGATGACATCACCCTGTCTGGGGCTGGCAGATGTTTAAAAGTTGATCCTTTCTGCCATGGGCTGCTTTTGTAGAGTCAGTGGAGACATCCTGGGAATATTCGATGTAACTCCTGTGATTTAATAAATGTGTCTCTTCCGCGGCTACCAACTCCCCATCGTCCTCCATGGTTTCGTCTGTCCACTGCACACACGTGTGCTGCTGGGGCCCCACGGAGAAGCCCCCACGGGCAGTCTTCCTGGACAGGATGAGAAATCCTCCAGGCGGCTCTCTCTCATCTGGCCGCTCTCCTCCACTCTACCCCAGTGCAGCTGGCTAGCCTGTCCCTTATCCCTGGATTTCCTGAGGGTGAGGCAGACACTGAGAGGTGGTGCCTCTTTAACTGTAGTGACTCCCACCAAGCTCTCCGGTGGTCCCATGGGCGTCACCCTCACCAGGCTTGGGGTGAGAAGCAGGTACCCACTATGCCTTCCTGTCCAGGGCAAGCAGCACCCTGCATACCAGCAGCCCTCTACAAAGAGTGCCTTTTCAAACACCTCCCTAATCTCACCAATCCTCTCTCTTTGTCCCCAGTGTACGTGAGGAGTCTCAGGAGTTGTGAAATCTGTGTTTACAATTTCTGTGTAAATCCCCATATAGTCTACCGTGGGATATAGCATCTACGTGTTCCTGCTGCCTCAATGAAAGCTTCCAATTTGATATCTTGGTACATACTGTCCGTGTTTTGCATCAGTGAGTAGCATTTGGTTGATACACAATCTAACCCTAATTTGCTTGTTTTGAACTTCATCCGGTGTCAAGGTAGCACTAACCTGGGGATTTAACCAGCTTGTCCACAGGCCTCACATCTCAAATTTTCCCCCGCAAACTGGTCTTCCTTGTCATGGCAGTGCATGCAGAGACCTAAGTCCTGTGGGGCATGGATCAGATTATTAGGGGTTAGGAAACTTCTGTAAAGGACAAGAAAGTAAATATAATAGGGTTTGTGGGTTTTCCAGTCTCTGTTGCACTGCAGCTACTCAGCTATGTCGTGATAGTGCAAAGGCAGCCACAGACATTCCAGAAACAGTGAAGGTGGCATGCTCCAACACACTCTATCTATAGAAGAGGCAGTGGGCGCGTTTGGGCTGCAGAACCTGGTACGAGCCCTGGATTAGATGAGTGACTAGGGAAAGAGAAATAGGGACCCTAGCTACACTGAAGACTTACCTGGACAGAAGTGGACAAAAACCCCAGTGAAGTTCATGACAGTCCATGGGCTATGAAGGACAGGGACTTCCTTTGTTCAGGAGATATGAAGACTTCAGAACTTTAGCTCTGGAATTTGGAAACAACCTAAGGAACTCAAGCTGGGAAAGGATCATCTTTTGAAATAGCAGATTGTGATAATCAAGAAAAAGGAGGAGGAGCAGGGAATCCAGGGAAGGAACCCTGAGGCACATTCAAGGCACCTGCTTGGTCCAGTGTCACGCTGGTCTTCACCCAGTGGCTGTGGTACATTTTGTGCCACTTTGCCTTCCTGCAAACTGCCCCCTCTGCCTGGATGCCACTCTCACTTCCCTCTGATGCTTAATGAAAAAACTGCTCATACACCAGCTCAGATACGTAGCAAATGCTTTATCTCTCAAGCACTAGCCAAGCTTGCCTTGATGGCTTCCAACACCTGTGTCTGCAGCTTGTTCCCAAGGAGCTGTCCCCAAAGCTGGGAAGGTCTCTCTGCCCCAGCAAGGCAGGTGGCAGTGCTGAGGGCCAACATCCCCTGGGGGAAGTGCTGGGGACCAACATCCCCTGGGAGCAGCCCTTAACCAGTAACTGACAGGAGTGGAATATAAATTCCCCGACTCCCTTACCTTTCAAATGGGGCAACTGAGAAGAGGGTTACACTGCTGCCAGGGTTTCCTAGTGGCTTTAACTCCAGTCCCCCCTCCACCGCATAGAAGGTGGCTTGATGACCTGCCCTTTCAGGGCATCTTCCCCTCCTGCTTCACTTCCCCACTCCCCTGCTGGCGTTTCCTGCACTTCAGCACCATGTGTGTTGTTTCACTCCCTGCTCCAAACCTTCAACAGCTACCCTTGCCATCCTAAGAAAGCCCAAGATCCTTTGCCCGAAATCCATGCCCATCCCAACTTGGCCACCCTGCCCTACTGGGCACAGATGTGCATGCCTTCCCCTCTCATCGTTGGATTGGGCATTCCCTTGCCTTAAAGTGCCTCGACCCCAATCCTCTCCCTTTCCCAATCCTGCCTTCAGGGACCTGCTCCAAAGCCACTTCCTCCAAGAAAGTCTTCCTTCTCTCAGATGCCAGCAAGAAATGATTTTTCCCTTCCTGGCCCAGGCACAGCATTGAGTTTCTACCTCTTTGCACTGGAGTTGTTTGTTTCTAGCTTATACTTCCTACTAACCTGAGGCTTCATGGGGGCAGGGATTATGTTTGTCTCGTACGTTTCTGCATCTTTCACTCAGCCAGCCTGTGTGCATCCCGACCACATTGCTCACAGACAGCTGCTGGATGAACAGCTGGCAGGGCTCACCTCACACTATCACGAATTGTCTGTACCGACAGGCACAGGTTAAGCAGAAACTTAGAACTTCCTTCCCCAAGAAGCCACAAATAAGTGGAGGCAAAGGGAATGAGGACCTGGGCCATTTCTACCTTTTTTTTTGAATATTTTTACATACGTTGCACATTTTTCTCCTTAGGATGTAGCTCACACAAAGTCTCGTTCATCTTTGTACCTCCCACAGCTTCTGGTGCAGGGTATTAAATGCAAGCACTCAAGAAAAGCTCAACTGAATAACTACGGTGAATGAGAAATTCCCACTAAACCAATTGGTTTAGGATGGACTGACATCATTTATAGGTTGCCCAGGATGGTGACTGTGCTTAGCAGAGGCTAGATCACAAAGGACTTTTGCATTTCCCTCTGCCAACTGTGAAATCCTTGGTTTCAGGAATAACTCTGGAGTGCCTCTGGGAGCCCTTCAGCTTGAGCAGTTGTTCTAAAAGTGAGGTGTTGGGACAAGTGTCAACAGCACCATCTGGGAATTTGCCAGGGATGCAAATTCTTGGGTCTCACTCCAGACCCTCTGAATCAGAGACCCTGGGGTGGGACCCAGCTGTCCATGTGTTGGCATGCCCTCCAGGTGCTTCTGACGACAGGTTTGAGAGCCACACCTGAGCTACTTCTAATGTACAGGAGGCCCCTGGCCTGCTCTGCAATGTGAGATTGCCATTTCAGAGGGTCCCATTTAAGGAACTGCACTTTTCAGGACTCCATAACTCACTCATGGGAAATTTGGTCATTCGGTTCAAACAGGAAATCAATTGATTTTATTAAGAGCATTTTAAAAAATAAGAAAGAAAAAGAAAAAGACAAAAGAAAAAAAAAACCAAACAAGAATATTTAGAACAGGTATGACATTACACTATGTTTCTTGAGATTATTTATTCATATCCAAAAACAAAATAAAAGGCTTTCATCATGCAAGGAGAGAGCTAGTCACATTAGCAAATAAAGTAATTGACTTGTTATATATATATATATATTTTTGCCCAGCTGACATCTTGATTTAAATTTATTGTATTTTGTGAAATGCTTCATTTATGTCAATAGCTGATGAAGTTAAGATTTGAAATATAAAGTTGTACCTGTTTATAGCTGCATATAGTAAGAAACATTCAGGAGTATTAAAATGTATTATGTAACTGTTCAGAGAATGAAGCAAAGCTCTGCTTTTCAAGGTCTGCGATGAGTAAACTGCCCAGCCCTTGGCCTCTGGTAATGCCCTGAGGTGCACGCATGTACTGCCACCGTCCTGTGTGTGTTTCAGCAGTGCTGCTCTGCTAGTTCCAAGGTAAAGGTGCAGAGGTAAAGGTGGTTGACTTAATGTGTTTGCTTCCTCTGCCCAACCGATCCTCATTAGGCAATTCTCTGCAGCACACCTAAAACATCACAGTGAGTTCCGGCTCCCCCGTGGATGGGGACACAGAGCTGGCCCTTTCCAGTTTCTCGCTAGGAAGGAACGGAATGTACCTGCCCAGGTGCCCGGCCACGTGCCTGTGGAAAAAGTGGCGCAGGTACTTGCGGAACCTCTCACCGACAAAGGCGTAGATCACCGGGTTGATGCAGCAGTGTGTGTTGGCGATCACCTCTGTCACCTCCCTGGCCAGGTCCAGGTGTCTGTTGCTCTCACAGCTCTTCCCAAAGAAGATCACTTCAAAAGCAGAGAGAAGGAGAACCAGGTTGTAGGGTGTCCAAAAAATGAAAAAGACCACCATGATGACAAAGATGAGCCGGATGGCCTTGTCCTTCTTTTTATTGGGGCATCTCCACAGTGTTTTGATGATTCCTGAGTAGCAGACAGCCATAATGAGCAGGGGAAGGGCGAGACCCAGGATGTTCATTCTCAGAGCGCTGAGACGCTTCCAGCTATCTTCTCCACCCTCTGGGTAAGCAGGGCCGCACACGGGCTCTTGAGTCACGTCTTGGGACTCATGGAAGAGAAATTCAGGGAGGGCTGCTAGCCCTGCCAGGCCCCAGGTGACAATACTGGTGATGACACCAAAAGTGACAGTCCGGGCTCGAAGGGCAAACACAGCGTGGACGATGGCCAAGTACCTATCAATTGTCATCAGCATGATGAAGAAGATCTCGCTGTTCAAGCTCATTTGGTAAAGCCCCGAGAGGAGCTTACACATGCCGTGGCCAAAGACCCACTCATTCCACCCAGCGGAGTGAATCCAGAATGGCAGAGTGAAGACGAAGAGCAAGTCAGAAATTGCCAAGTTGAGCAGGTAGATGTTGCTCAGAATCCTGAGCCTCCTGTACTTGGTGAGGATCGCTATCACCACGACATTGCCCAGCAGGCCCACGATGAACACCAGGGAGTACAGTGGGGGCAGAAACTGGGCACCCAGCTCCTTGATACTGGCTTTTTCACATGGCAGTGCCTGCTCATAGTCGTAGGGCGTGGTTCCGAAGACCTCAACGTCATCTATTGAGCTTGTCATTTTGCTTGTACTGTGATAAAAGAAGAAAAAAACAATTCCACAATTAAGCACGATCACCCTTTGTACAACACACCAGCTGATCTATTCATTTACACAAAGATGCCATGTACAGGAAGCAGCCCACACATTTTAGAGGTTCTTTAGCCTGTATTTCAAAATGTATGTCACAGATACAGAAAGAGGGTCAAGAAGGAAAGCTTTGAAGTTTTTGAAGTCAGCATGATATATGATGGAAAAAGGAAGCAGAAATGTTGCGGGTTAGTGGTGAACATCTAGCTGCTTGCTTCCCATCTGTACAATTAAGCTAGTGCCCTCCTCCATCTCTCCCTCCCTGTCACCCCCCCCCTCTCTCTCCCTTCTTCATTTCTTGCTACTCCAGAACCTGGGGTAGCAAGAAAAAATAATTGTCTAATGTAGCACAGTCCAATAGAACTTGTCTGCAAGGATGGAAATATGTATCTGTGCTGTCCGATAAGGCAGCCACTAGCCTCATGGCTGTTGAGGACTGAAAATGTGGCCAGTGCTATGTCGAAACCAAACTTTTCATTTTATTTAATTAATTGAAATAGCCACATGAGCAAGTAGCCACTATATTGGACAGCGTGGGACTAGTGCCCAGCATGATACCCAAAAAGTAATAGCTGCTTAATAAGTGCTCTTACGTGGATAAAAGGATGGAGCAGAGTAATATTTATTCTGCTTTGCACCATTGAGACTACACATCTGAAATGTTCTATTCCAGGCACCAAATTTTAAGAGAGTTAGTATCAACCTGGAGTCCAGAATAGGGTAGGATGATAAAGACCCAGAAACATCAGGCATACCTGGCTGAAGTTGGAATATTTCATATGAAAAATAATAGTCTTTGAATTCATTTTAGTTCCTTTTTTTTTTTTTTAAATGCCAGTACTTGTATGTCTTTGGTCTAGACCAAAGTTTTCTATCCTTAGGTTTTTTGTTTTATTTTTTTAACTAAAGGACTGGATTAGGCGATATTTTAGGTCCATGGAAGACAGAAGAGTCTATGATATGACAGCTTTTCCTGTAGAAGAGGGAGTAGACAATCAGCAGAATTTGGTATTAGGGGAAACTAGATTCAGCTATGCAGAACTTGGTGAGAACAGTGTGCAAACAGTAAGCCCCCCCCCCCCGGAAGTAAACAAGAAGAACCTCTCAAAGCTGAAATCAGGAATGAAAGCAATCTTCTTCCCAGCTGCAAATATTGTCCAGAATTTGTATTTTAGGATGGCACAGGAATTTCCACAGCTGCCAGATGTGAATAGAGTTACTAATGCAAAGGTTACACCCCCTTCTCAGAATGTGGTCAGTTCATTCTAAGTGACTTGGTTTCATCCACTTGCCAAGTGATTCTGGATACTTTCTTTACCAACATCCTGCCCAAATATTAGACTTGATGATTACATTTTAATAATAGATGTTTCAAATGTGGCTGAGTTTTAGTTTTGAATACAGGCTCTGCTATTTTAGTTGAAAGAGACAATTGTGAAGAATGTTTTTCATGGGGAAGGAATGCCTAGGCAACCCAAACAACGTGGTTTGGGGTGGTCAGTGTGACCAGAGTGCTCAGCTTGCTGGGACTCAGTCTGCCACCTCCAACTGTGCTTTGGAGAGAGAGCCCCTGCCTCCTCTCTAGAATAATGGATAGCACGCTTGTATACCATTTGGTATTCTGATATTTCAAATTGTATATCCTCCACCCAGTTCCATGTGGCTAAAAATTACTTGAAAAAATAATTTGTAGAGACTCCAACATATTGTAGAGATATTCATGGTTATTTAATCATTGTCTTTTTGTTATATGATTAAGTTGTTCCCAATTCACTTTGTTGTAAATAGTGCTGCAATAAACATCTTTACATTTTTTTAATTATTTCCTTAAAGTAGATTCCCCAAAACAAAATTTCTACATCTAATCATATTTCTGAGTCTTTTTGCACTTTGCCAAATTGCTTCCAGGAAGTGCGTAACAATGTCTATACTCTTGGCCCTAGGAGATGACGATGCCAGTTTCAACAAGCATCCATCAACAAGGAGAAGCTCTAAGAGGGAAAATAATGACTTGGCCAATTAGATGGGCAAAAGGGGGTGCCATTATTGTTGTAATTAACATTTATTTAATTACTGAGGGTAATTTTTACTGCAATTATTAGTCATTCATATTTCCTTTTCTGTGGATTATCTGTGCTTGCCCTTTACCCAATTTCTGCTGGGTATATCTGCGTTTTTCGTATGAATCAGATAAGGGGCTCACATTTTTTGCCCCACGAGAAATAACTCAGCCTGCATGGTTCTATGTTATCATTCTCACCTTCTGAAAAGAGCTGCAGACACACTTCAATTCCCACCAAGTCCATGTGGAAGACCCCATATTCCCACCACTCTCCCTCAAAGTACTTGTCCAACAACAGTTAACTTTCATCCTCGGCCAATCCAGGGGTTTCTGGAAGACTAGGTAAGGCTTTCTATCTCTACCCTCTATTGCAGGTCTAGGATAGGCACCAGGCAACCTTGTCCACCCAGACCAAAAGGCACCATACCAACAACCAACCGATTCCTCCAATAGCTTGACTTAGAGTGGAAATTCAATGAGAACTTATTTTCATGCATGCATACTTAATGTGCATGCACACACACACACATATATACACAGTAAGCCCTCTGTATCCTTGGGTTCCACATCTGTGGATTCAACCAACAGAGAATTGAAAATATTAGGGGGAAAAAAAGTCCACAGGGTTTGAAAAAGCAAGACTTGAACTTGCCATGTGGCAAGTACTATGTTGAATTCACCCAAACAAAGTGATGTATAGGCATTGTACTAGGTATGAGAAGTAATCTAGAGACAATTTAAAGTATACTGGGGGATGTTAGCAGGTTGTATACAAATACTCTGCCATCTTATGTAAGGGAATTGAATCTCTGTGGAGTTTGGTAAATGAAGGAGCCCTGGAACAGATCTCCCCTGGATATTGGGGGAGCACTGTTTATGTATAACACACTCACATGTATAAATATAAATTATATTTTCACTGACTTTCTTACAAGTCGATATCAATACACACAAACTACTAAGGGTGACCCCTTAGGAGTGGTTGCATTGTCAGTAATGGAGAATTTGTAAAAGCACAGGGAAGGTAACTTGGGTACAGACAATGCCAACTATCTCGGGCTAAGTTTGGACACGTGCAACAGACCAACATATTATGGTACAGGTGGAAAAAAGAAAGGGCACACGAGAGACAGCAAGAAGAAAATGGAGATATTCCTTCGCAGATCCCAGAAGATAAGACTTCCACCCACGGGCAGCCCTCAGTCCGTCCCCCTTTTCTTAGAAAACTGACACCTACCTGGAAATTTCTTCTAAAGAAACAAGTTCTGTTGCATTTCGATAAGTCCTTGCCCAGATGAAAACAAAAAGACCAGTGGTGCCTGCTAATTTAGTGAAGTCCTTTATGCAGCCAGTGGTAGCTCAAGTCTCACGGAGATACCATCTGATGACAGACATTAGTAACGTAGTAAACAACACAGCTTCCTGTTTTAAACAGGCTAGCTTCTCAGGTTTTGTAAGTTTTCAAAAAGATATCGAATTCGGTGCAGTTCTTCTTTTTATTATTGACATCATGTACTGAACGCTTAATTGAGTAATCCTAGAGATGAGTTTGCTGCTATCCGGCAGGTATTTTAAAGAGGCTCTTCACTCCCTTGGCTCATTTTTTATGTGGGAGGTGTTATAATATTCAAATAAGCATTGCTTTGACCCATGGGGAGAGAGAATGAAGAATTAATTTGAAATTTCCCTTTAAATGAAGGACGGCAACTAGGGGAGAACCCATTTGCTCTGCAGGGCCCAATGGGAGGCTTGGGTGGGGCGAGTTGTAGCAGCTAAGGTTTAGACAACTCAAGGAGACTTGGGTTTGAGTTTCAGCTGTGGCACCCACAGCTGCATGACCTTGGGCTGATCACCTAAATGTGCAGGACCTCAGCTTTCCCATTTGTAAACTGGAAATAATGATGCGTAAGTCGTAGGGTTGCCATGGAACCAACTAAGATAAATGTGTGCAAAGTTTCTGTAAAATACACAGGGCTGAGTGAATGCAAAGGCGTGGGTAGAGTGCCGCTGTGACATAAGCTTCACAGGACAGAGCCTCGTCCCTGCTCTATATGCTGATGTGTCCCCCAGGGACTGGCACAGTGCTAGGCACAGGGCAGGTGTTCACCCGGTATCTGTGGGAAGAGCTCTGACCATGCAAGTTGTGATGGTTAACAAATTGGCTCACTGGGCAAGGCAGTGCAATTCACCAAGTGTTTTTCAAACATTTGCCATGTGTGTAGGACTGTCTGCATGCTTCATGAGAAAGAAAAGGACAAAGAAAGAGGGAGAAGGGAATGGACAGAGGGAACATGAGGGAGTGAGGAAGAGAAGGGAGGAAGGAGCTCAGTCATACCTGTTCCTTGTTTGCAATCAGAGATAACAGAGACCTCATAAAATACCAAGAATGCTCAAATATAGTTAAATAATAGCAAAGTAGACATTTAACTATTTAGTCTACAGCATATTTAGCGTGGCATATTCAAATTGGCTCAAAAAAATTTTTTAAGAGACAAGGGTCTTGTTCTGTCCCCCAGGTTGGAGTATAGTGGCATGATCATAGCTCACTGCAACCTCAAATTCCTGGGCTCAAGTAATTCTCCTGCCTCAGCCTGCTGAATATCTAGAACTACAAACATGTGCCACCATGTCCAGCTATTTTTTTTTTTTTTTAATACAGATAGAGTCTCACTGTGTTGCCCAGAGTGGTCTCCAAATCCTGGTCTCAAATGATCCTCCTGCCTCAGCCTCCCAAAGTGATGGGATTACAGGCATGAGCCACGGTGCCTAGGCTAAAACAAAATTTTTTTCAGTGTCAGTAAGAGTCCAGACTTTGCTGATGGAGGCCTAGGTTCAAAACCCACCTTTACCATTTAACAGTGACATGGCCTTGGGCAAACTACATATATAACCTCTGTGTGTCTCAGCTTCGTCTGCTGCAAAATGATAGAGCAATGCCTACCTTGTAGGATTTATGTGAGGAATAAATGAAGCAAGACTACACAGAGACCAGTGCATGGCTTGGGGACAGTGTCGTGTGAATATCTGCCATTGTTGTCATGACACATTGAGAAAGAGGCATCCTCTCAGAGTGGCATGAAATACAGTGTAATGTATTGTGCTCTGAGCCAGTGCGTGGGACACCAAATGCAAGTTCTCTTGGGTTCAGAAAAGAGGTCCATGTGGACTGAAGGGATTGAGAAAAGTTTCATGGAAAAGAAAGGGACTGAGGAACACATAGAATTTGGCCATGTGAAGGAAGAGGGAGACTTTCCAGGAAAGGAGAAATAAGTTCATCAAAGCCAGGAGGTGAGGTTGGCTTGGTCCCTGTGCAGGGGTAGGCAAGAGTGAAATTAGGGAGGAGATATACTTGGGCCCTAACGTCAGGAACCAGGAGCCCAGGGAGGTTAAATATATATCTATTTTAACACATGTCTATTAGGGGGATTCACGTTCAGAAGCTCTAGCCCCACAGAGTGTTCAGAACCACCAGCAGGTCTTCAGCAGAGGAGGGATTTTGTAGGACCATTGTTGGTGATTCAACTGGCTTCCACTCTTCTCCCTTCATCCAGAGAATTTTACCTCTAGATGACACGATGGCATCTTATGACAGGGAAAGCATGAGCCTGGCAGAGGTTGAGGGCATGGGGCAAAGAGTGGAAGGAGATAAGACTGATCAGGGGTCTTGGCTAGATCATAGAGAGTTGAGGAGTTTAGAGTAGGTTCCATAGGCATTTGGGAGCTATTGAAGGTTTTTGAGGGAGAGCACTGGTACCATTTTATCCGAGATCAGTGCTTAAGAGTGTTCAGAGCATTTCCACACACATTGTCTTGGGGGAAACCCCGCACCAACCCTTTGCCTCACTAGGGGAATTGCCATGCCAGAGCTGCTGCATGGGGCACCACTCACACTGTCCTGTGTGCAGGACTGCCCAGGACTGTGCAGGAGACCACAATGAGAAGCGAGGCCCGGTGATCACCTAACCTGCAGATAAGGGAACTGAGGTCAAGGGGCCTGTCGAAGGTCACGCAGGACCATGTGGTGGAGTGGATTTTCCAGCTCCAGTCTTCTCAGTTCACTCTGTGTTCTCACCAGTGGTGAAGAAAGATGCACGTAGGATTTAACACTAGACAGACCTGGACTCAAATCCCACCTCACCCGTTTACAGATCATACGGAAGAGTTCTTTAGCCTTTCTGAGCCCTAATTTCATTACCCACAGTGGAAATTATAGGTAACATGGTAAGGGCTTCATACAAAATAATCCTAAGTGCCAAATGACATCTCTGCAGGGCAGAAAATCTACAACAAAGCATTCATCTGTCGGGAGACAGACTGAGAGATGTGAGAGGTTTCAGGGGCTTTGCAGGTCTTTGCTTTGAAGGAATCTGTGAACATGTTAGTTCACAAAATAGAAGCCGCTTCCTACAGGGGACATTGTCAGAGGACGTTTGCAAAGCAGCGTCTCTTCTCTTGCTGCAGGTCATCACCTTGAGCTTTTTTGCAAAGCAGAAGCTTGGTTTGGGCCCTTGACAGAGAAGCTGATTAAAATGCCTGCCCAGCAGATGACGTGCAGCTGGAGCTATCCTAGACTTCAAGGCTATTCCTGCTTCACTCCTGACTACGTGTCTCTGTGTTTAGAAGATGTAGATTAGAGTAGCACACCCACTCAGTGTTCTCATTTTATACACCGTATGCTCAGCTAGGTTTGTTTCCTACTTAGAGCTTAACATGCTTATCTTTGAAAAATTGTGTAACCGTCTGTTCTTGTAGACAGAATTAGGTAAGGTTACCCTGGAAACCTCAAAAAGTGAACTGAATACATAATTCTCTAACAGAAGACAGCTATTTGCTGCACCAATAAATACTGATGTGGGACTTCATTCGGGGTCTCGGTTGGCGGGAAGCCGAGAACCCCTGACTCCCCCATCTTTCGAACTGCTCTTTGTCTCCATTTCAATCATTTCTCCATCTATAATCTATCATTTCTTTATTTCTTGTTTCCACATCCCGTGTGACGATCCTGCCTCGAGACCTGTTTGCGCTGGGAGGGTGGCCAACTCCCAGCGTTCTTCGTCTGAAATCAACAAGTTACAATTATCTCCTAGAAAGTCATGAGGATTTAAAAAGCATTTGGAGATCTCTCTAAAGAAACTAAATGCCTAAGGTTTTTAACAGCTCATTCAGAAGAGATTTAAAAAATTCATTCACTTCCATTTCTAGACCTTGGATAAAAATGAAACTGTTGAGGGGAGAGCATTTTCTGGCATTTCGAAATGAAACAGAGTTTTGTAAGGTTTTCTGTGATTTCCACTATTAGGTTTTCAGTTAACGTATTGAAGTAGCATTTTCCTATACCCATTTTAAGTGTACAGTTCAATAAATTCAACAATTGCATGCCCCTGTGAACCACCACCGTAATCAAATGTAGGACATTTTCAGCACCCCCAAAATACTTTATGCTCCATTGCAGCCAATGACCCCCACATTCCCAGTCCCAGCAAGCACTGATCTGCTTTATGTTGCTCTAGTTTATTTTTGCTTCTTCTAGAATTTCATATAAATGGAATCATATAGCATCTACTCTTTTGTGTCCAGCTTTTTTCTCAGCATAATGTGTTTGAGATTCATATGTGTCCTTCCATGTGTCAGTGGATGGATTTAGGGCCCCCCAGTTTCCCCTACTTTTCTCTGTGGTCCTGACTCAGACATGCAGAGTGCCTGACCACTCTGTGACCTGGCCAGCCTCATGTTTTCCCCTGGAGGCTGGAACCCACGCTGGAGCCTTCAACATTCCCAGGCACTAATAAAGATGCTTAGAAACTAGAAGAAACTAGCCCCATCCCTGAGCCAAATTCCTTAAACCCTCCCATAAACTCTATACTCCGACCACTGTAGCAGACATACCTGGGTAGGACATCTCTTTCTCTCGCAGTCTGCTGTGAGGACTGCTACAGCACTTTGTAAGTGGGTTTCCCTAATAAATACTTTGGAATCAAGTGGAGAAGAAGATAAGTAAACCAGCCGAATAATAAAGATCTGAAGAGACACTCCATAAAAAAAAAAAGACATATAAATGGAAAATAAGCACACTAGAAGAGTTTCAACATCATTAGTGACTAGGAAAATGCAGATTAAAACCACAATGAGATACCACTATACACTCACTAGAATGACAATTTTTTTAAAAACTGACAATATCAAGTACTGACAAGAATACAGAGTCACTAAAACTCTCATATGTGGCTAGTGGGAATGCAAACTGGTACAGTCACTCTGAAAATAAGGCAGTTTCTTTTAAAATGTGCTATAATTAAAAGTGACTCATTTATGTGTTATAAAGCAGTGGTCCCCAACCTTTTTGGCATCAGGGACCAGTTTCATGGAAGATAATTTTTCCCTGGAGCAGGGGATGGGATAGGGGGATGATTTAGGGATGATTCAAGTGCATCGCATTTATTGTACAATTTCTTTCTTTCTACTGTTATTACATTGTAATACATAAGGAAATAACGAGCAGTGAGGGAAACCTGAGGTCACTTTTCATCACCGTCTGGGCTCCAA